GGTGGCAAGGCAAAAATCGCCCCATCTTGGGGCTGGGGGCTCGGCAGCACCGAGAGGGCAGCCGGCGGCCACTTTTGAAATTCGCGGGAGAGGCAGGACAGGGACCGGGGCTGCCGCGAACGCCGCGGGGGAAGCCGAGCCGCCCACCGCGGCTCCGGGACCGGGGAGCGCCGCGCTCGGGATGCTCCAGCGGGACGAGCCCCGCAGCCCGCCCCGGCCGGGGGGTCCCGCTCCGCCCCGGGAGCCGCACACGGGGAACCCGCCGCCCCTCCCCGCGGCCCCGCCGGCATCACCCACCTGCGCTCGGGGCGCCGCTCCGCTCCGCCGCCGCGGGAGCCCAGCCGTGTGTCGGGGCCGGCGCTGCCCCGCGGCCGCCCCGCTCCGCTCCGCTCCCTCCCCCGCAGGACGCGGGGCCCGCGGCTCCCCCTGCAGGGCGGCACCGGCGGCGCGGGGCGGGCGCGGCGGGGACGGGGACAGGGACGGCTCCCCCCGCTCCCGGCACTGCTCCCCCGCTCCCGGCAGCCCCGCAGCTTTACCTGGCGGCCGGCGCAGAGCGGGCACCGCGGGGCTCGGCGCCTGCACGGCCAGCCCGGAGCAGCATCGCGGCTGGAGGAGAGGCGGACGCTCACTAGAGAGTCCTCGCTCGCCCGTGAGAGACCTGCGAGTGACCGAAGCGGGCTTTGACTGGGCTTGATCTGCATACAATGAAAGGAGGAAAAAGAGGAGAGGAGAAGAAAGGAAAAGAGAGGAGGGCTTTCTCTCTACATTGTTTTAAGCATCTACTTCTTTCCAGGCTGGAAAACCCACCCAGCGAGGGGAAGCGTGCAGCTGTACCACAGAGGGCTGTGGTGGCACAGTGCAGTGCTACGGGGGACAGATCTGGTCACACACACAAACTTCACTTTCTTCTCTGCCTAACTGCCATTACTACCTCCGGAAAGGAGCCCCTGTGCAATACTGCTCGGGAAGTGTTTGGGAGTCCTCTGTAGAGGTATTAAATACTTGACAGAAGTTTCACATTCCCACCGGGGAGGTGGTTGTGGATGCCACCAGCACACACACACATTTCCTGCCCATGGTGTCCCTGGCCAGCTCCTGCTCCTCCAAGGAGCAGACCTGGGGACAGCCGTGACTCATCTCACAGCAATCCTGAAGCAGGGAGAGAACCTCCCAAGAATTTGATCCTGCTGCTCTTTCTGGATATCTTCTAAGTTTTCTAATTTCTACTTTTCAGCTTCACATCTTAGCAAGCCATTTATCTACACACTCCTACTGGGTGGGCATTGCAAACAGGAAAACCCACCAGCGTGACTCCACAATTCCCACCAACTCCATGGCAGGTCCCAGCCTCTGACAAACAGATCCATCTCAGTGACAGCCAGCACAGGCCCCTCTGCCACAGCTTGGATTCTTGTGCCACGCAACAAGTTTTTATTCCAAGATAGGGTTTATTCCCAGAGGCGGTTTGCTCACACCACCTTGGCCAGAAGCATTCCCGCATTGCTGACCCCCAGCACCAGCTCACCCAGCCTTTCCCAGCAGCAAGAGCACGGACGATGCTTTACCTTATTGCACTGCAACGAGACAGCAGGAAAGAAATAGCAGAACTGGCACCAGCCCCTTCAGCACCAAGATCAAAACCAGTGAGCATCTAAGCATTAAAAATTTAGCCCTGGCAGCAGCACATGGCACCTGAGCTGTCCTCCCCTGCACTCTCACCCAGCCGGAAAGGAGGCAGGATGGTACATGGGCTGCCTCAGCCACGCAGCTGGGAACTACAGAGCGGAGTGGAGGCCAGAGCGCCGCTCCAAACACAATGGGAATCCTCCCGGGAGAAAAAAAAAAATCATTTTTCCCAGGAAGTTACAGAAAAAGCTGGAGTAATTTACCACACAGTGACATGTAATGGTTTTAAGGAACACATACATTGACTAGCCAAGAGAAAAAAGCAAAAGCAGGAGATTGTGAGAAGTTTAGGAGCCTCATCAAAACACGCTGCATAAATGACAGCTTTAGAAATGCCACCTGCCCACGTGAAGTTTACCAGAGCTTTTTGAAAAATACTGGCAGTAGGAGTCGGGCACTGTTGGTGTCATGGTCTCACCTGTGCCCTGTAGTACAAGACATGGTGTTTTCCCACTCCTAGTTGATACTCCATGAAATTTTATGCCGTGCAATTGTTTTTGGACTAGAGGGGCAGCTCACAATCAGCTGCCTGCCAGGCTCTGCTGGGTCTGCTCAGTGTTGCTCCTCTCCAGGGCAGTGTTTCCTGTATTGTAAAGGTTGCCTCTTATCTTTGAGGATCTGGGCCAAATGACTCTCTCCCACTGAAATCAATGAAAGCTCTGACTCCAAATACTCTTAAGGAGCAGGGATACAGTTTCTAAATATGATTTTGTTCCTGAACACATTAAACCCAAAGCTGTTTCAGTCAATCCCCTTTATTAAGCTGTCAGGTCCCATTCTCAACACATCATCTTGCAAGTTTCCCAGATCACAGATGTTGATCACTGTATCTTTGAAGGACCCCAGAAATGCTTCACTGGATGTTTCTTTTCCCAGTTGTAACTCTCTGATTTTTGCAGCTGACCAGTTTTAAGATTAATGTACACTTGGTTTTTTTTTTTTCAAATCAGCAAGTCATAGAAGATTCAAAGCAAATGTCTAAGTACTTTCACAGGACTGGCTGATAATGGCCCCCTGAACAGCTTCTAATGTTTCTTAGAAATTGCTTTTTGTTCCATAAGAGCATTCTAATACCACTACCAGAAACACCAAACCACTGGTTCCTTCCCCCACCAGCCATTCCAGTTTGGATGGCATATCAGATCCCCACTGTCACCTACTGATTTTCTCTCTGCAGTTGGGAATTCTGCAACATTTCAAGATGTTAAAAATCCCTACTGACATCTCCCAGAGCAACTGAGCCAGATCTTCTGTGACTTTTGCATGCTCATTTCTCACTTCTGCACAAGTAAATATGTTTACAATGAGCAGCTGCTGTTTTATGTCCTATTCAGCAGTTGGGTAGGATAACTTCCATTACTGTAGTAAGATCTGAATAGATCCATTGCCTTTCCTTTGAACTAAGAACCTAACTGGCTTTCCGTTGGCTTTATGCCATTATCCCTGTCAAGTATCAGATCATATTTCTACTTGTGCATATTCAGTGCGTATTGTTCTTACCTTGTGCTCTCCCTTTACCACTGGCCAACAATGACAGTAAACTAACAGTAGGGAACACAATCATCTTTTATATTTTTTTATGTGTTTTTATAATATATGCAGGGGTGGCAGCACAAGACAGCTTTAACTTCCCTTCCCTTAGTCACTCATGAGGAGTAAATTGGCATTTCTGTGACTGCTGTGGCCAGGCACACTCTGAGAAGGGGCTACATGAAGAGAAAGACTGAAACCACCTGGAAAGTGAGAAGCTTCCAGCAGCCTCCATAGCCATGGGGAGGTACTGCCACACACTCAGAGCTGGCTGGGAACTGAAAGAAGTCCAGCACTGCAAGGAAAGAAATCTTCCCCTGTAGAGCCAGGAAGGGCTTTCTCATTCCTGAAAAGCAGAGCTGCAGTAACACACTGTTCACTATCTAACCTAACAAACCAAACTCCTGCATTTTGGGCAGCTGAAAAGTAATGATAACGAGTCTATTTGCACTTCTCAGACTTAGTAACTGAGCTCAAGGATTAAACTCTGGAAAGCCCATCTAGAATAACCCTTGAAATGCTTCCCTCAAAAAGGTGAGAGCAAAGTAAATAAAAAACTCACTCTCGAGACCTACTGTGAAACTCACCCCTCTCTTTGATGATTCTGCATGAGCAACAGCCTGGGCATGTCAGTGATGCCACTGCAAACACAGGACACACTCATAACAGTGAGCAAAATCACCCTGCCACCCTGCTTACCAGAAAGAGCAGAAAATCATACCTAAGTACTGAGGCTTCCATGTGAAGGGCTAAAAATTATCAGTTTGCCTAGAACAAAATCTGGAGGAATTAATGTGGTTTTTTAAATAGAAAAAAATTATTTCTGTCTTAAGAAAGTGATTAACACATTATCAGTTTTGGACCTGTCCTTTGTTGTGAAACTTTTACTTCTAACCATACTGATTTAGCTGGTATGTGCAAAATTGCATTTAAGGGGTGCACATGTTGCAAAAAAGCATCAAACTGAGTATTGCATTAGCACATATGTTCAATGTTGTTAAATAAGACACTTAAAATGGTGTGCTCTGACTCGTGTGTAGTCTCATTCTCACAAATATTGTCTGAATCTTCTTAAAAGCAATGCAAAACTGTGCAAGTCTAAGGGAAGGGATGAGGGCAAGGTTACTTGAGTCCTTTGGAAACATCAGCAAATCCTTCAACATTAAAGACATATGTATATATAGAAATAAAAATACATATGTGTGTATATATATACACAATTACTTCTCTCCCATTGTCCAACATAAAATACCTGACAGCATTTTTAAAATCAACACTGGGAAAAGAAGCTAGATTTTCTGAAGGGTGTCTCCTTTACCAAAGTTACACATGCAAAATCTTGCTGGAAATGCCCATGGCCAACACCATAATGAAGGACACTCCCCTGTGTCAGAGACCAAAGCCTTCACACAAACTGTTCAATTCCAGCACAGGGGGAGTTCAGCTTTTACCCAGGCTCAAGGAAAAGAAGCTAAAGTCAAGGTAAGATTTGTCCTCCCAGGGAAATGCAAACCATGTCCCCAGCACTGCCATTTGCACTCGGGTCAGGAACAAAGGAAGGATTTGCAGTAATTTCATGTCAGGAGTTGAACACTGTCCGTAAAAGGCACTGCCCAAACAGACTGTGGCTACATTTCTCTCAATGCTATTCAGTATGACAGACTAGGAGATGGAATTCAATCTAAATTTAAGCACTCTCTATAAACTATTAATAGAAGAAAAACTGGTAGCATGAATCATCATGTGGGAGCTGCAGAGCAACAGCTAAAATATATAGAACTTACCTTTACACAATAAATGAACTGTTGGAGTCGCAAGGCCCAGCAGAAGTCAGTTGATTCTTCTTCACTTGCACTATTCTCATTTTATTCTGAGGAGCAATGAGAGGGCAACCTTTGTTTAACTTGACAAAATACACATTGTGTATAACCAAGCTTTGTCACAACACAAATTGGAGACAAAAAGTAGCCACTGACGCTGCTCCCCACCACTCCTTGCGAGGGAATAGCGTGTGATGGAAATGTTGGTGCCAAATGACAGAACTTCAGAGGTCTATAAAGTCAAGTTAGTGTTTTAGCACCCTGTTCCAGCGCCTGTGTAAGAGCTGTACCCGTGGCCAAGAGGGAAACGGCAGCACAAACCCTTCCTTTTACACCTTTCTTCTCTGCAAGGACGACAACCCAGCTGCATCAATTCGTTGGACCAGAGGGATGTTTTGCAGCTCCTGAACTGCAAAACTGATCCTCCAATGTTGTGATTTTGCAGAGACAGCCCTGGCTTTGTGCAGTGCAGGCTCTACCCAGGGCTGTACCCCAGTGCAGCCCACGGACTCCGAGCGTGGCCCCACCGAGACACTCAGCCTTAACTCAACACAGTGGCATTTCGGTGCTCTGTGAGATATTTATTTTTGAAAAATATGATATTGTCAACAGCTCCCTGAAGTTGTCTCCAGACTGTTATGTCTCCTTCTCAAGTTTCCTTCATTTTTAAGAGCTTAACTTTTAGGCTTCTGGCGTGAGGAAAGAGCCTAAAATGGTTTAAGAAAAGGACATAAACAAGGGAATGAGTATGCACAGCACTGGAGAGAAGCACAAATATTTCCTCACGCTATATAATCAATGCAAGTATCTAGGAGAAAAAATACTGTGATAAGACACTATTGTGTTCAACCCTGTTTTCGTAATGAGGGTAAGAAGGTGCCAAAGAACTGAAAATCCCGAAGGGCAAAGAAGATTTAAAAATCGACATTGTGTTTTTCAAACAGGGCATTTCATATAGAGAAATTCAGTTCTACAAACAGGGTTCAGTTAAACCATGGTGATGCAGAGGACAATAGCAGGCAAAGACTTATAAAAACTTTAACTTGGGTTAGGATTGATGGCATCAATCCCTCATCTACTTTTTTAAAATTCATGGATTTTTTTTTTTTTTTCTAAACAAAGACTTGCAGGGGAGAAGTTTGAAAGCAACTCTTCTAATAGAAACAAAGGTAATAGAAAACACTTAATTATGACATTAGAAATGTTCTAATCTTGAGGTGCCAGGCACAGAGACACTAATGCTGCCACACTTGCTACAGGAAAGAAAGACTTCTCTTTTCTGACATGAGTTTACTACACTACATTTCTAAAACAGTTATAAATCTTTTTTGAGAACTGGAAAGCGTTTTCTCAAATCTGTAATTCAGGGACAATATTTCACCTCAAGAAAGGAGAAGCAAGACATTGTCTTGCAGAATAACATCATGAGACAAAGACATTTCTGGACACACAAAACCTCAAGAAAAAAGACTAAAAAATAAGCAGGATTAAAATATCTGTACTAGCCAGTGTATTTCAGAACAATAATTAGGGGCTCAATCCAAACCTCTGGATCTAATTTATTCCAGAGCACTTGAAATCAAAGCTCTAAAGGAACAGTTGAAAACAGTTACCATCCAGGATGACTGAGACCAAACCAGATTTAAGGTGTTCTAATCTTTGTTTTCTCTTGGAACTTTTATTTTTAGGCATCTGCTTTAAATAGTCTGAACTATTCTATGGATTAAGTGCCCAATCCCTCTCCAGCCCAACTCCTTCAGAGACAGAGAGGGAGCGAGCACACAATTACCTTACTCAGAATAATTCTGCTCCTGCAATGTAGGAAGGAAGTTGCCTAAATGGAACATATTCTCTGCAGTTCCCTTCTCCAGGACAATACAGGCTAAGCAGATGCCTCCAACACGTCCCTGTTATCTCAAATACTCACTGTCTTATCACTCAAAGCCCTCTGGGGGGAGATACTGGGAAGTGTGCTGGGGTAGCAAGAGATATGGCTTCCAAAAAAATCCTGAGGTTATGTGCACACAAGCCACTCGCACACACTCCTCATCCACAGCAGATGGACCTCCCCAGATACTTCCTGTAACACTCCTGAAAAACCACAGTGCCAGAAATAGCGTTGAAATAGTTCCTTTTGTAGCGGCTTCGCTCAAGAAAACAAACACATGTTCTGCTACTTGCAATCTTTATTTCAGGAATAATTAAGAAGAAAACATGGCAACATCGGCAAATTGAAGGCATACATACTAAATACTCATACAGAATACATTATGGAGAAAGTAAATGCCCAGATCTTTAGTGGTCCTTGCAAACTAAAAGCCTATTGGGTCCTCCAAAAGGTTTAGCTTAACACAGGCTTGCTGACTTCTTAAGTTCCAATGATTAACAGCTTGTGCCTTTCAAACCTGAAATGAAACCAGGGTGAAATACAATTGGAACATCTGTCCAAGTTCCCCTCAAACCTGTATTTCTCAGCTCTAACCAGAAGCAAACAAAATGTTTTTTTTTCCTCTTTACCATTTAAATAAATACACCAATACACCACCCTAAGTACTCAAGACAAGCACTTCTTGAAACATGTTCCATTTGATTCAGGACCCAAAGTACATATATGTACACACACATTAATACATGTGTGTGTGTTTATATATGTACCATTATACATTTATGCAAACCCTCTCTATGTAAAATGTCCATACATGTCAATGTGTGTGTGTGTAAACTATTCAAAAGGGTTCTGGGGAAAAAAAGCAAAGTACTCGTTGTCTAGAACAAGAATTACTAAACCCACACGTAAACTGACATAAAACAGTTGTGTTTCAAGGAAGAGTAAAACCAAAACAAATCAGAAAAGCTGGATGGATGAGAAGAGCTTTTAAGAATCACTGATTTTCACATCATCTTTAAAGGCCATGGAAAATGAGCTTTAAATTAGCTGTTTAGGAGATATTGTTACTGGCTGCAGTGTCATCTCAAACAAGGTTAGTCCTTATCCAATATAGTGCTGTGAAGTCAGACTGAGACATCAATACAATTCTGTTCTTTCACAAAGCCCAAAGTTGATCCCACTGCTCTGTCAGTTCTGCCTCACACCTGAACTGAAAGCACCCTCACCCAGGGGTGGAGGTACCAATTAATGCCCTTCTGATTCTGATCGGGAGAGTTGCCCAACATTAAATGGGATCACTGCCTTATTTCAGACACATTGAACAACTCTTGATCATTACTGACCTAAAGTGAACTTACAGTCTGGAGGCAAACTAGTCTATGCCTTGTTTAGTAGTGTTACTCTTTCTTCCCATCAGATAACACAGAAAAAAACACTTCTGTTCAAAAAAACCCTTCAGATATATATAAAAGTGCTACTTAAAGACATAAAAATTAACCTTACAATACACATAAAACCAAAAGTTTCTAACAAACTGAAATGTTGTAAGTTACAAGGATTAATTACTTGAGTATGTTACACGTACTTGTGCCCTCTTAGCTGAACTGAGTCCCAAGTAACCATCCTAAGTGAACATATGCAAAAACTGGAAACCATTGAAAGCCTCCAGAGAAATTTCAACAATGGAACAAAAAAAAAAAAAAAGAAAAAAAAAAAAAGAAAAGAGAAAAAAAAGAGCCTCTTTCTCCCTGTTTGTTGAAACAGAGTTTAAATCACAGCTGGACTATTCCATTATTGCAAGTGCAGTCTACAGTGAGAACAGGTCAGTTCGTGATCCATGGAATCAGGACTGCCAATGGCTCCTCTGCAGCAGGAAATGTCCACTGGGCTCCCTCACTACCATATAAATACACCAGTTACATGCAATTAAAATAATACATAGATCACGAGGGTGAAAATGCACTGAATACATTGCTATGCTGGGGCAGAGCTGGTTTTAAGCCTTGGCTTCCCCAAACAACTTGCTTATATTCTAGAACTATGCAAAATACAAAAGCCTTAGAAAAGTGCAACAAAACTAGCTTCATGACATTTTCCTTTCCATTTCCATAAATACAATCTCATAAAAATATTATTAAACAGAAGCATACTTCCCAGTGGAGAACTAACGTGCCACATTTCAGCCCTCAGTAAATGATTTTGCCTAAACTGAAACCCCCTGAAAATAGGGGATTAAAATGAAAACAGCTTAACTGCATGAGGCTGCTGGAATACTCTGCCAGAAGTTTACCCTACTGTTCTGCATCCCCAAGTCCTGCTGGAACTGATGGGAACTTCATGTGCAACTCTGTGGCAGACAGTGGCCTAAGGGTAAGGAATATTCCAAGTAAAAGCTAATGTCAGTTGGAAAAAAGTCATCTGGTATTCATTCATAGGTTTTACTGAAGTTTCAGAGTGAGGAAATAATTCTAATATCACAGAATGAATTAACTCCAGGAGGGGAGGACAGTGACTTTGTCAAACTGGGTTCAAGGGTGTTGCATCCCAACAACCGGTAAGCATAGCAAAAACACAAGGACAGAAAAGACACTCGCATCAATTAACAGAAATCAGAACTGTACAAACCTCCATCTTTTCAGTTATTTAGCATTATTTATCAAAAAGCATACTTGCTACGTATTCCAGATGCTTCACATCTTGGCTTTGATAATTATAGGGTGTCCTACAACACTGATGCTGAAATCAGGGAGTACAACAAAAGAAACTTAGATTAAGGAAGGACTGGGAATGCCCAGCAAGTGACACTGTCATTTAAAACCCATCCAGCCACTCTCCTGTGAAAGCAGAAACACTATTAGAGATACTTTTCCAAACAGGGACAATTAAATGTATTAAAAGATGTCTATGTTTTTGCCAGTCAATACACACTAACTCAGGAAAGCATGTCCAGAACTCACAGATGAGGAAGACACTTTAACAGCACTTCTCACCAAATAATTTCTCAAACTGGTTAATAATACTGAGCACTCACACACTAATGTAGCTTAAAGAAAGGAACTGCAGAAATAGAGCTTGGCAGAACGTAAAAATAAAACAGAAATAAATATTTACTAACTCAAGGGAAGGACCACAAACA